GCCGTCATTGCAGCACGGAACCAAATAGCGATGTAAATGGAAAATACAAATGTTCCCGCCCTGGTTCCCCCATAATGTTTACGTACAAAAATGCTCATGGCATTATAAAACAAGTGTACATAATTCAGACTGCCTTTTTTGGTGCTTTCCCCTTTGAAATGGATGATACTACTCCCTGAAAAATAATAATTCTTGTATCCAGCTTTCTGAATTCGATAACTAAGGTCAATATCCTCACCGTACATGAAAAATGTTTCTTCAAAACCACCGACTTTGTCAAGCACTTCTTTTTTTATCATCATGAATGCACCGGCCAGGACATCCACTTCATGGTCTTCATTTTCATCAAGGTGACCCAGGTGATACCGCGCAAAAACCTTTGATCTGGGGAAAAGGGATGCCAGGCCAAATAGTTTATAAAGAGAAGTAGACGGTGAAGGAAAAGAACGCTTCGATTCTTTGAGAAACGATCCGCTCCCATCGAGCATCTTTACGCCAAGCGCGCCAGCATCCGGATGTTCGGCGAAAAAGGTAAGGCATTTCGAAAAACAATCACCTGGTACCAGTGTATCGGGGTTGAGAAAAAGGATATACTCGCCGGTGGAAAGCATTGTTCCCTGGTTGCAGGCTTTGGCGAAACCGGTATTCTGTTGATTGGCGATGAAACGAACCGCGGGAAAAAGAGGGCGAAGGTAATCCAGGCTATTATCGGTAGAATTGTTGTCGATCACGATCACTTCGCCTTTGATACCGGCCATTGCTTTCTGAACAGAGAAAAGGCACTGTTCGAGGAAGTGTCGCACGTTATAATTCACTATAATGACAGATAGCTTCAAAAGCGGGTTGCTGTTTGCTGCGAAGTTATCGGGAACGATTCAAAATAGCGATAACCGGGTGAAATACGTTTCATCTCTGCTCCCAGAGGTTTATCTTTGCCTATGCTTAAAAATACCCTGGTAGAAGCGGTAGTGGCTGGTGCCGCTGAACTAAGCCGTTTTTTCAACAACCCTTTTAAAATCTCGCACAAAGAAGGGGTGAACAACCTCGTTACTGAAGCTGATCATGCGGCAGAAAGCGCAATTCTTGAAGTGATCAAAAGTAACTTTCCCGATCACTATATCCTGAGTGAAGAAAAGGGCGAGATCATCATGGACTCGACCTACAAATGGATTATTGATCCCATTGACGGTACCGTCAATTTTGCCCACGGTATTCCCCTTTGTTGCGTATCCATTGCAGTCGAACATGAAGGAAACATCATAATGGGGGCAGTCTTTAATCCAAACT